TTCATCAAACTCACTTTTATTTTTCATCAATTGTTTTTTCCTTCAGAATAAAATATTTCCTTTTTTGGAGTTATGAAAGCATTTCTTTTCTAATGCGATTAGACTTCACAATTCAGGGTGAGAGAGACGCTTTTGACACGTTGTTTGACTACGGACCAGACAAACTGGCTCATGTGAAAACGTCGCTGTTGGCGTTCTGCAATAAACATCTCAACAAGATCAATCTCGAGGTACACAGATATGCGAATAACCTACCTGTTTTTCTAGTCGCTTTGTCTTTAATTGAGAACAACCTCCAGACACCAACTTTGCTCGACCTCAAAGCGATTCTGATTATAGCATATAAGCATTTTTACAGTCAGCGAAAATGAATGCCCATTACTTGTTTTTGCTGGGCTTTTTATTGCCATTGTTGCATCTCATAGAAGTCGGAAATGTCCGAGAACTGTCCCAATAAAATCGCTATGAAGTTATTGATGCTAATTGATTGTCTTCTTACATGTCGTTGGTATTGGGTCCAAAAACCGTGCAAAACCGTGGAAAACGTAAAAACATTCCTGCATCGTTGTGTAAGAAAAAAAGCCTTTCGGGGTTTTTCGACTTTTTTAAAATTGGTTCAAATTTCCTTTGGTGCATTCACGTGCTGCAAACGTGCTTGTCGTCATCATGGCCCTTCTCGTGAAATGTAGTGAAAGAAGATTGAGGGGAATCCATCGTCCTCGAGCATTATGTGTTATTGGGGCGAAAAAGTGAGTACTGTAGAAAGAAGTCAAACAAGAACTCTCGGAACCCCCTTTTTTGGTTGCGAATGTGGTATGTTGTTGAATACTGATGAGGCCAGAGCAGACTTGAAGAGAGTACAGGGGAACAAACTTCATTAGGGAAAATTTTGTAAGAATTTATGACTCGGCAGGTATCAGGTCCTATATATTTCACCTTCGAATACCAAATCTTATCGTGTGATTTTCAGGTAACTGATTTAGAAACACAGTTTCAAGACGGTGTGTTTCTTGTACTGCTAATGGGTCTACTGGAAGGATATTTCGTACCACTCCATGCCTTCCACTTACAGGTCTGTTGATGTTTTGTCAGAAAAACTCTGTTGTTTCTGGCTGTTTCATAAAACATGCAACTGAGCAAGAGAAATGATTGGAGCGTTTTCGCGGCACTACTCTATCGCTACTTGAATTCCCTCAATGCTGTCCTTTTCCAGTATGAAACCAATCTTTACGGTTCTCGTATTAAGTCAGTTTTGCGTAAAAGTATGAAAAAGGAAGCGCTCCGCCTTGTTCCACTAGAAGTACTAGGCAGGTTGGGGCATTTGTCGGTTACCCTTATGAGTGTTGAGCTTACAAACAAAACCCTTCATCATGCAGGTTAATCTACCAAGCTGCCGACACTCTAAGCTCAATCCCCTCCAGATTAGAATGTAAAGAAATTGTAGGTTAGAAAAATTGTTCGAATGAGTTTTCTTTCATATCGTTTTGTGGTCTTTCTGCTCTACTCCCTCTCCGAGTCTGTCTAATTTTTCTTCTTTGATTCCAGTTCTCTAGCCCAAGTTGATCCTTCCAAGTTACTTGTCCCCATACTGTTCTGGTATTACCTTCTCGAGATTATCTTCATACAAGATTTCGACCTCTGGCCCCTTAACGCCTGTAAAAAGAGTTTCACTAGAACTGCTACGAAAATAATGTCCCTGAACTTGAAGAATGACTTTGAAGGCCACGGCAGATTTTCTCATGATTCAGGTGACTTCGCATGAAGAAAAGGTGAAAAATGTCGCGTTTGCCTTCAAACTGATGCATGACGCTGGCCTCCCGAAACCACGCAGTCGTGTTCAGGATATCGCCAACGGTGATCTCAAGGTACTGAGTGGGATTTTTCTTAGCTAGTGGTATCTTCATACGTCTTCTTACAGAGCACACTACGCCTGCTCCACCTTCTTTTCACCAAGTACAAACACATTTGAGGGGATTGGGGTGGACAGAACACTGCTCAGCCTCCTTCCTCCTACCGTACTCCTTCGTGCTGTCGTGATGAACCATGCACATCACGTACTAAGTGCGATTCGGTTTCGGTATCGAACAGCCTCGACTCTCTTGAACTTGAACTTGCCGTCGCTCATTCTGCCCACCCCGTTACATGTCTGCCGGATTCACATGTCTGCCTTAATGATATTGTTGTAGATTTTTGCTTCCGTCATTGGTGCTTTTTAGGTAACTATGTGACCAGCGGGGTGTCTGCTTGCGGCAAGGTGCTTTCTCTATTTTCTGCGAGATCAAAAAGATTAATCCTTTGCAAGCAGATACCTTTCAGTTTACTTTTCATTTCGAGCCATTTTGTGCATTATTTTAACCGAGTGTAACGCTTACTTGATGATATCATTATGAACAGTAAAGAAAGGTTTCATGATGGGCAGTGCAATAAACCTAATTAAAGAAAAACACCATACGATAAAAACCTCCATCGGTTAGCGTCGCTTAAAGGCATAGTTCACGATAATTTGAGGTTTTCGTTTTAATTGTAAAAGCGGAAGTATAGGTTGAGATTAGTTCGTCGGTAGTGGAGAAAGCGAGGGAATTCTCCATTTTCAAGAAAAGTATGGCTTTCAAAAATAGGGAAAATAGGGGTTGGACAAACTCATCATGACGAAAATAAAATGGAAGAGGTATTTGGACGAAATTTCAATTGCGATTCAATTTTTGTTGCAATTGCGCAAAAGCTGACTGCCATTACGCCAGAATGTACAGAACTGTCACATGGGCTCTATCGTGATAGCAGCAGCCTCTACAATGCCAGTGAAACTCGTCCGACGATATACAATCTTTGAGCTTTTGAAACGCCCTGACTAGGCCGTTTACCGGACTAATAGCGCCAGGTATGGTATCCTATG